ATATATATATATATATATATATATATATATATATCTCTTCAATTAACAAGTAAAGTCAAACCATTTTTAAAAGTATTTTCACTTCCATCAGCAGTATGTGAGAGGTCCTGTGGCTTTCTTTAACACTTAACATCATCAGACTTTTAAATTTCCGTCAGTCTGGTAAATGAGTAATACTCTTTCCTTACAGTCTTAATTCTGTAGAGGTTGAGCAAATTTGCATATATTTCCTTGTCATTTGGATCTTTTCTTTTGGAAAGTGTCTGTTCCCATCTTTATTCTATTCTTCAAGTGAGTTGCCTGTATTTTTCCTATTGATTTATAAAAGCTCTTCACATATTCTGGTTATTAATCCTATTCCAATTTTATGTGTTCAAATATCTTTCCCATTGCCTGTCTTTTATAATGTCTTTTAAAAAACAATGTCTTAATTTGTTGTTGATTTGTGTCAATGTTTTCTTTTGTACTTCATGTTTTTGTGTTAAGTAATACTTTGATACCCCAAGGTTATAAAAATAGTCATCTATATTATCTTTTAAAATCTTTAGTTTGGTTTTTTTCACATTTGAGTCTTTTATACAGTTGTAATTTATTTTAATGTATGGAATGAGGTAGGAGTCCCACCTTTTCTCTTTTTTGGTATAGGTCAATTTTCCTAGCACCTTTTGTTGAAACGTCTGTTCTTTCTCCTACTGCTATCCAATGCCACTACTGTGATATATCAAGACTGTATATGCATAAGGGTAACTTTTCAGAATTCATTTTCCTTCCCTAGAAGCAACCCCATCAGCGTCCACTGCGCCTGGCATGTGAGGCAAATCCCACTGGGAATGAAGGCCTGAGGAGCAGCAGCTGCAGCATCAACCACCCCATCTTCAGAGAGGGTACTACGGTCAGTGCTGCCCCCAAAACCTCATCACTGTTCTTCCTTGTCCTGACCCACTCCCTTCCCTTACTCCCTGCTCCTTCCCTATCCCTCTTCCTTATTTCTTCTTCCCTCAGGGCACCTTCATTATCACATTTGATGTTTCCTACAAGGCCACTCTGGGAGACAGGTTGCTTGTGAGGGCCAATGCAAGCAGGTGAGCTCAGGCCACTCTCTGGTCAGCTGGAGACTCCTCTCCTGGATTCCTTTCCAATTGGGTTCCCCTCTCTTTCTCCAGTGAGAATAATAAGCCTGCAACCAACAAGACTACCTTCCAGCTGGGGATCCCAGTGAAATATGCAGTGTACACAATGATCAGCAGGTGCTTAATCCCTATCCCTCCCCTTAGATCTTTAACCTTCCTTCAAGCCTAGTTTTTTCTGCTGCAGGCCAGCCTTTTGGTGATGGGCATCCGTGTTAATCCATGTTACTATAATGGGCTACCTGAGGCAAAGTACATATAAAGAAGAGAGGTTTATTTAGCTCACAGTTGAGAATGCTGATTGTCAAACAGTGTAGTGACAGTTCTGGTGAGGACCCCCTTGACTATATTGTGGCAGATAACACCAAAATGTGTGCCAGAGGATGAGATTGCACCATGAGATAGGAAGCCTGTGAAAGGGGGAGGGGCTGATCTTACATTTCACTGGGACTTGCCTCTTAAAGGTCCCAGCACATCTCAACATTGCTACCCTGAGGCCCAAGCACCCAACACATGAACCCTTGTAGCATAAACTCATATCTAAATTACAGCGTACCTAAATTATGTCCTCTGATTTCTCCTATGGGAATGATTGTGTGGGTGGCCAGCCATGTTTATAGTACAACATGATGGGCCACACAAATTCTTGCTTCTTCTCTGATGAACTGGCCTGCTGGTGGGACACACATATGCCTTATCAACACTGTCCATTTTCTCCTCTCCCTCAAAAATTCAGGCTTCTTTTAACATGAAGGCAATCCTTTCCTTTGCGCCAAACATGAACATGCTAAAGTAAAGCTACTAGATTGAGATCACTGTAAGCACTCTGAATTGGGTAACCAACAGGATATGGTCTGTTACCACATAGAGGAAAGGAAAGGTCAGGTTTCTACAAAACTGAGAGGAGGGTAAAGGTGTGAGAGACTGTTGGGAAGGTCTCTAAAAACTCAAAGCCGAGGAAGGCCACAGGAGAGGCAAATGTAGGGCCACAACTATGGGTTCTGAAGGTGGGTGAAGGAGCTGGGCCGGCCAAGCTGGAAGGAAAGCAAGGGACTCCACACACTGAATTATACTCCAGAGGGTTAAAGTGTGACATGGGACAGAGCTTGCTGCTGTTGCTGTTAAATTTATAGAGGAACTAGGGAAGGGGATCAGGCAGTCTTATTGTCCATCTAGGACTCATGGACCACATTTGTCAGTTTCCCCTTTTATCCACAGTAAAATACTTATGATAAAAGTTTACAGTTATATATACTTATGACAAACATTTTTTTGTTATCATTGTGGGGTTTTTTGTGTTGTTTTTATATTCATTTAATCCTCCCAATAATTGTATTGTTATCTCCATTTTATCAATGAAAAATTAAGAGGTTAAATAACTTGCTCCCATCATTCACCAGGTAAATCATGTTGGATGCCTTACAAGGATACCCTGGGAGACAGGTTTTTTGCTCGTGAGGGCCAATACAAGTTAGTGAGCCCAGATGGTTTGATTCCAGGGCCTGTGTCCAAGGCCATATGCTATATGCTTCTCTGAAAACTCAGGAAAGTCGGATGATTTCCTTAAATTAAAAAAAAAAAGAGGTTTAGAACAAGAAAATTTAAAATAAGAAAACTAAAGCATAGGAGGCAGGGGAGCAGAGAGAAAGGCTAGCACAGTGAGAGAAAAGTAAATGCTCACACTTATGGAGGACTCACAGGTGCTAGGTGCTGCTATAACCCCCATCACAACTCTGCTACAAATAGGCAATATTATAAGCCTATAATATTTTCCTCCTTATTTTAAGGAGGAAAAAACTATAGGTCTCTGGAGAGGCTAACTCTCTTGCCTCATGTTACTTGAGTAGGAAGTGCTAATCTAGATGTGAACTCAGGCAGCTCCTCTGTATTCTGAGGATAGGACTCAGGGCCTTGCACATGCTAAGCAATCGCTCTACCCTAGACTACAACCCCAGTTCCTGTGTTCTTACTTAGCAAGCTAATAATAGGAAAATTGCTGGGGCCCACAAAGTTTCTGTGTGGCTGGTTTGGCTTTTGTGCTCTGGGTGCTAGGGAAAAGTGCAGGTCTTTAATCTTGACTGTTTGATTCTGCTGAGATATTAAAGCTCTGAGAAGGCAGAGATTGTGGCTTAACTGTTGAATCTCCATGGCCATCCATATCGCCTGGTATATGATAAATATTTCCTGAAAGAAGCCATAAGTGGAGGGATGGATGGATGGAGAGATGGATGGAAATCCTCCTGTAGCCTGAAACACTTATGTCCCCTCTGTAGGCTTGAGTTCACTTACTATCTTCCTTCACATTTACTATCCTTCCCCAAGATAACCACATTTATCTTCTTTGTTGCCACCACAGAGGGGCCATTATTTTGTTTTTTCTTGAGTGATCCAGCTGTCACTCCCTGGAGTCCCCTTAGAGTTATTTGTTCTGGCAGCAGCCTCTGCAAGCATCATCTGAGGCCAGTCCTGTATCTACTAAAGAAAGCAATGTGAATGCCTTTTCCCAGAGGAAAATGTTTAGATATTCTGAGAGGTGATGTTCAAGTTGAGCGTTTAAGTGAAAATTTCCAGAAGAGGAGTGGGTAAGGACATTCTAGGCAGAAGAAAGAACTTGTGCAAAGTCATGGGGATGTGAAAGAGCCACAAGTATCAAGGGAAGAGCTGGTAGTTTTGGGTGACTGAGGCAAAAGGCAATGAGGGAGGACTAAGCTGAAGCTGAGCTGCAAAGGTATGTGGGACCTTGGTGTTTGCCTAGGTCACTTTCTGGGCCCAACATTGCTCTCTGCAGCAAGCTAGGGCACAACTGGGGATGAGTGTAGGGCTGTTTTTTCACCAACAGGCCCTTTCTCTCCAGACAGGAAGAATCCACCAAGTACTTCAGCTTTTCTATTTCTGATGAGAGCAGCAGGAAAGAGGCAGAACATCGATACCGCGTAAGAGGCTGGGACATATTCATGTCTGTCCTTCCTGGTGTTCGTGGAGTTGGAAGTTGGTGGGAAAGATGCAAAAGACCCCAGGGCTATCGCTAGGAAAGAAGTGGGATTTGGTATGTGCCAGGGACTATAATGTCATTTGGTCTCAATTTTCTGCAGGTGAATAACCTAAGTCAGCGGGATCTGGCCATCAGCATAATATTCTGGGTTCCCATCTTGCTGAATGATGTGCCTGTGTGGGATGTAACTGTGATGGCCCCTTCACAGGTGCTTGCCTGTCTTTCCTCTCTCTCCAGGAACTGATCCCACAGGTACTGCACACCCTCTTATCAGGGAAATGTTGATCCTTATGCTGCTAAGAATTTTTTTTTTTTTTGTCAACTAGAGTCTCCCCTGCGTGTCAGAGAGGGAACCTCCCCAGCATTCTGACTTCCTGACCCAGATTCCAAGGAGTTCTGTGCTGGTAAGAAAGACCCTGAGTCCCCCACTATCAGACCAGCCCATATTGGGAGATACAGCAAAAATGTATTGCTAGATTATAGAATTATGCATTTATCTTGTAATTTTTCATCTATTTTCCACCCAAACTCTGCATCCTTTATTTCGTTTTATGGTCCCCCCCCACACCCTAAGTGAAGATCTTCCTCAACTTCTTTCCTCTCCTGTCTCAAGAACTGTTCCATTGCTGACTGCATGAGGTTCCGCTGTGACATCCCCTCCTTCGGCATCCAGGAGGAGCTTGACTTCATCCTGAAAGGCAACCTCAGCTTTGGCTGGGTCAGCCAGGTGTGTAGGCCCTTCCCCCAGATTCACATGGTATCTGATGGGTCTGCACCAAGCCTTAGGCCAGGTCATTTGCTGAACTCTGAGTTTCCCTCAGAGACAATTCCCTAGCTCTCCTCACCCTAACACTGTCTTGCAGACATTGCAGAAGAAGGTGTTGATCATGAGTGTGGCTGAAATCACATTTGATAGATCTGTGTATGCCCAGCTTCCAGGACAGGAGGCATTTTTGAGAGCCCAGGTAGTGACTGTGGGGTAGGCAGTGGCCAGGCTGGTAAGAGGCTCCTGATACTAAATCTGTGCTGCTGGGTGGGGGGTTGAAAGCTTAGAGGGAGGAGGGAGGAAAGTCCCTGGGCAAGACAAAAGTCTTGAAGAGTATGAGTGCTCCTGGATCTCACCTCTTGGAGCAGGGCCTAGGGAAGGAGGGAAGGGAGCTAAAGGTTGGAGAACCCTGGGGAAGTCTGAAGCAACATGAAACCTCATGCTTTCTGATCTCCAAATCAGATGGAGACACTGCTAGAAGAATTTGAGGTCTATAATCCCATCTCCCTCATTGTGGGCAGCTCTGTGGGAGGTCTGCTGCTGCTGGCTCTTATCACAGCCACATTGTATAAGGCAAGTACTTTATTCCACTCCTAACACTACCAGCAGCCAAACCCAGCCCTGTCACAGACAGGATAATAGCATGAGAATCTGACTATAGTGCCAGACAGGACTAGGCACACATTTTGCCTCTAGAATTTATTTACTGTATGTTAGCAAGTTGCTCAACCTCTCTGAATCTGTTTCTCATTTTGTTTATTTATATGTGGTGCTGAGAATTGAACCCAGTGCCTCATACATGCTAGGCAAGTGCTCTTTACCACTGAGTTACAACCCAAGCCCCTTGTTTCTCATTTTTTTAAATGATAATAAGGCTTACCTCATAGATTACATGAAATTAGGCAGAAATGAGGCCAGGGTATATGTATAAATCTGCCTGCCTGCAGAATCTATGCTTTTCTATTCTAGATTATGTGTATGATACTGTGCTCAGCATACAACAGATATTCAATATATGACAGCTGTTGTTCATATAAATGTTCTGACACAAAAACATAATCTTACTTAGTTCTCTTATTCTCTCTCAGTTTCTTCCTATTCTCATACCAAGTATTTCTGATTTATTTCTTTTCACAGCTTGGCTTCTTCAAACGTCAATACAAAGAAATGTTAGATGGAAAGCCTGAAGACACTCCTACATTAGGAGGGGAGAATTTCACCTGTGAGGCACCAAATTTATCTTTGTCTTAATAATCCACTTTTAAAATTTATCTCTACTTCCATGGGCTAGTTTTGTCCCTACCTATGAATCTACTTTCACATGGATCTGGACTTGCCTGAGCAACCTATCAGGTATTAAGCCACCTTTCTGAGGAGTTGAAAGGTTTTTATACCTGTACATATCTCTTGGACTTTTTCCGGATCAGATATGATGCCAGCATAAATTTTCATATGGATATTTGTCATACAAACTGAGAATGTTTATCACATTTTCCTTGTATGGAAGAGTTCTAACCCAGGGATGAGGTTCTAGAAATAGGTAGGGAAACCAAATTGTGGGATTAAAAATGTCCTCTCACTTTCTCTGGTACCTGGGAGTATCAGGGGAGAGATTTAAAGGAAGTGTGTGTGTGTGTGTGTGTGTGTGTGTGTGTGTGCCAGGAGCATAGTGGTCTGTCATGGGCTATGCACAGGCTTCAGGATCTTTAGTCATGAAAAGTGGGAAAAGCGGTGGAATGTTCAGTTAGAGCTCATTTGAACCCAAGTTTCCCTTGAATGGGGCCCCAAAATCCAGGAGAGCCAGGCTTCCAGAAAGGACTATCTCATTTCCAGACTAATACAGAAAAGCATCATAGAGAATGACCAAAATATTTCAAATCCAGAATTAGGTCATGACACCTCACACAGAGGAAGGCAGGGCCCACATTTGAAATTGGGGCTATCTGTAGATAGCCAGGATTCACAGATGCTGTCAGTTTGGCCTGGGTGTGTCAGGGGAGAGTTACTTCAGGTCTGCACTCCTGGGTTCCCTTTGATCAGCTGCAGACAATGAAGTCGCTGAGAATCTTAGGCTCCTCCTCTAGAGAAGAGGAACAAAATTATATCTGGATTCAGTTATGTGAAAACCCTGTACAGCCTAGAGACCTAAATATTAATGGGTAAGAGAGGGGGACGGAGATTGCCTACCTGTTCACGCAGGACCCTCGAGCACCTGCCATTATCAGCAACTTGGGAGTAACACGCGAGAGCAACCACGCAGCCCGCGTATGCGCCGAGCCGACAGGCCGAGCCAAGGACAATCGGTGCAGCCCAGCGGGGCCCCACCCAACCCTTCGCTCCCGCTGTCCCCAAAAAGCCTAAGGACACAAAACTTTCACACCTTTATTGTGCTTGGGATTGTCCGCTGGGGCTTCAGGGGTCTTCGTAGCCCGTGGGCAGAGGGTTGAAGTGGGGATTGTGGAAAAGAGTGTGGTTGCCGTCCCCCCAGGCGAAGGGCTGTAGAGAGAGCCGAGAAGGGACAGAGAGTGTCAGAGCGGCCCCGGCCAGGGGGGGGTCCCCGGGGGGGGGTGGGTCCCCGCACCCCCTTTGCCCGCCCTCTGGGTCCCGCATACCTTGGTGCGAATGCGGAGGTGGTGGTAGGGGATGAACTCTGGGCGCTCACGGTGGCCTGCGTGCAGCCAGCAGTTGACGGTGCACAGAGCCACACTGGGGAGCGCCAGCACGAAGGTCAGGAGGCGCCAGGTGCCGGCTGGGTGAGAGGAAAGGCGAGGGTGAGAGAGAAGGTCAAGGCCTCTGCGCGGAGGCCCTTGGAAGGTCTGGGGTCGCTTAGCCCGAGTAGGGGGTTGCCCGGAGGCTAGGGGGGTGTGAGTAGCGTGTGTGTGTGTGTGTGTGTGTGTGTGTGTGTGTGTATAGGAACCAGGTGGGCAAAACCAGTAAGCAAGAGGGTCAGGCACGCTGGCTCCACTCACCTCCTGCCCCTCCGTGGTCTCCCTTGGCTGTGCTGGCCAAACCCCTACTCAAGGACCTCAGAGGCAGAGCCATTGTGGCAAGAGAAGCTGGGAATGGCACTGTCCTTCCACTCTCCTTCACTGAGGCTTACGCTCTCCTCCCCTTTTTTGAGCCAATCACCTGTTGAGTCCGAACTTGGGTGGCTATTTTTAGGGGTCTTCTATATTTAAAGTGGGGCCTGACTGGAAGGAGATCCTCTCCAGGCGGTGGTTTACTGTGTCTTTTATTTTGACAAGGGGACATGTAAAGTACAATATGCTGCTTTTAAAATAGTTGCGGAGAACTAATTTATTCCATATTCCCAGTGGCTGGCACACAGTAGGCCTTTAATAAGTATTTGTAGAATAGATCAAGGGTCTTTTTGAATCCTTTTTTCCAACTGTAAAATCTATAATTTGTACTTAAATTATTTTTTCTAATGAAGTTTAAGTAAAATAGAAGTGTGCCAGTTTAAAGTCTGACACAAAACAGTCATTTAATATATGTTTTAATCACAGTTCCTTGCAAGGAACAGAACTCTTAACTAGTTTTGAAAGATAAGCAGCTGACAATCTTAGTTAGCTCAGGGTATTTCTGGTACAGCCAGAGAGGCCTCAATCTGCACAGTGAGAAATGAACCGTTTTGAAGGCCACTGCTGAACCCTGGATGCCAAAAACTTCCATTTACACAGCCTTGGGAAGCTAAATTTGTCCATCCTCACCCTGTTTTGAAAACGGTTTCCTTGTGAAGTTTGTTTCCAGAGGTTGCTCTCTTTTTAATCAATAAATCCTGTGGGTGCACCAATTGGCAATACCTGGTCATTTTGCTTGTGATCTAGTTGCAAGAAAGTCTGGGAAGGTGAGTCCTGGCTTCTGTCTTAGGCAGGCAGGAATTATACTGTGGGGAAAATCCTCAAAAATGGGAAAATTATTCAGAAAATTCTGAGTAGCCACAAATCTAACAAATGTCTTCTGCAAAGTGCGTTATTTCACTCTGACTTTTTTGGAGAGAAAAAAGAAAGCATAGGCAGGCCTGCACGCAGCTTGTATCAAGGCAGGTCACCAGAAAGCTACCGGACCAGGCAGGGATGACATCTGCTTTGTTCACTGTCATATCCTCAGCACCCAGCATGGAACCTGGCATGAAGTAGATGTTCTAAAAATATGTATTTAATGAATGTTTAAACCTTCTTCTTTTGGTTAACCCTATAGAAATGTCTTTTCAGAATTTAACAGGATGCCTCCAACATTTATCAAAAGCTGATATGCTGAATATGAATTTAAGAAAAATGAAGAAGGTACAATTTCAAGAAGGGGCTCTATAACTGTACCTCCTGTTGGTTCTAAGCTGAACCACCTTCTTCCTTCTTGTCCTCCCTCCCTCCACCCCTTCTCTTCTTCAATCTTGTTGAATGGTCAAATGTTACATAGCGTGGCTAAATTATTCCTGAGCCCTCACTGATCTATAGAATTATTTCAGTTGCCTTTTCCCAGTGACTTTGGAGTAGCTGTGGAGATGGGACTTTAAATTTCCCTGGCATCTCCCTCTATTCACAATCCATCAAATCCCTTCTCTTCAGATATGACAACTGTAGCTCCTGAAGAAACAGAAATGACAAGGGGGTGTGTTTAATGGGGAGGCTTGAAGGTTCTCTTTCTTCCCTGAATAGCCCCTCAGGTTTGTTTGCTGATGGTTACCAAACACTTCACTGGAAATTCCAACCCCTTTGGTTAATGCCCCAAGGGCTGCTACTTTCCTCTGCTGCTGTCGCCATCGTGTGGTGCATTTGACCAAGTACCCAAAGACTTGTACTTAGGTAGTTTGAGCTTTTCTAGGCAGCAGTCTTTGTACCCACCATTATTTCTTAAGTTCGCTCTCACATAAATTAATTGGTTTTCTGCCAAAGCTTCCAAGTTCTAGAGGTTTCATTTGTTCTTTATTTTAGGTAGAGGGAAGAACAAACTTTCCAGTTTTTAAATAGACCCCAGTGAGTAGCATTCCCATCCTTTGTGAGACATACTTCAGCTACTGGTGGTGAAGGCAGAGGGACAACTCTGTCAGTTTCTTTTATGCCTCTTCCTGGGGACAACTCATACTATGACTAGATTTTCCAAAGCCAAGATCAACCACAACATATGATCTATTAAATATAAATTTTGTGTGTGGTGTCCTAGAATGGAATACTCGAAATTGGAAATGTCCCACAAAAACAATTATATGATGACACAGTACATGGGTTAACTAGGATGAACAGTAAAGAGAGTTGGAAACAAGACAGAATCAATAATGACAATAGAATGATAGGGTCTTGTGTCATCTTTGAAGAAAAGGACAATAAAAATACTATGTCCCTGAAGGGACCCTCCCCATACCCCAAAACCTAGCCAGGTTAAGGGAACAATGAGAGTGAGTCTAGGCTCAAATATCCAGATATAAATTATCCTGAGGGACACTGGCTTTCTCTCTTATGCTGGAAATTAGGGCAAGTTAGTGTTATCAGTACAAAGTGGCTTTTTTGTATTCACAACAAGTTCCTTGGGATGCTGGTCACAGGTAAAAGCAAGCTAAATTGATGATGTCACTATGTCTGTAGCATAATATATACAACCCCTCTTCTTGTGGTATCAGAGCGCTGTGGAGAAGGAGTGCTGGCCCTCACTTTACAAAGTGTCGAAGGGGGTCAGAGGCACTATTTTATGGTGAAGCACTGGAGGCACCTTGTGAAATGGAAGCACCTGTCCACCCCATTGCCATTGAGCTTTCTGGCCAGGCACCTAGACTGTTGCCACTGGATCTTCCCCATAAGTGTTTCTTAGTAAACCTTATATCTCACATCCCATCTTTAGGTGTCTTCTTTGGTCTCTCAGCAACCTACCCCACTACCCTAGCACAACTGGGCTGTAAACATTACAGGCCTCAAGAGGGGTTGTTAGCTCCCTCTACCATAGGGAGGGCCTATAATCATGTTATAATGGACATCTATTATTTTGTATCATGTGCTCAATATATCTGTAAAAGAAAAACTTTAAACAAATTAAACATAACAGAGTTTATTTGAACAAAGAATGATTCATGAATAGGGCAGCACTCTAAACTGAAAGGTGTTGAGAGCTCTCCTGTGCAGTGTAGGCCTTGAGCTTTCATCGGCTGAATAGCAAAGTGAAGTACAGAAACAACTTAACTGGTTATAGTTAGGCATTTGCCTTTATTCAACATTGCCTGACAGTTGGTTGCCTGTGATTGACTGGATTTGGGTTGCTTATGGAGGGGTGAGATTTTGCTGTTACAAATAACAACAACACTCCCAATTTAGATTTTGGTAGTTTTCGTATTAAATTCGATTGTAGTTTGTTGGGTACAATGGAATAGTCTCAGGCCAATGGACTCTTATTTATTGTATTTAACATATCCATGTCTTCTTCTTCTGATAATAATACCAAAGAGTCTCTTTGTGAAACTACTACCTTTTATTTCAAGTTCACAGTCCATTTGTGGTTGACTTCCTTCTCAAGCTCTATGAGGGGACATATGATCCAGGCCTAGGCAATTAGAACATTTTGTTCTCTTGGTTATGAGTGATTGGTTTAGGGAGGAACTGAAGTCTATGGGTCATGAATTTTGGGACTTCTTTCTTATACTATTGAGACATGGAGCTGCTGGAACCTCAGACTGGAGCAGTAGACTGAAGCCAATATTGAGACCATTTTTAATAGCAGACCAAAAGATGGGGAAAGATTTTGCCTTGTTTTTTGGGTCCTAAATAAAGATGTGCCAGAATTGATAAACTTCAGTACCCTGAATTTTCAGTTATGTAAAATAACAAATCTTCCATTTTTAAAACTCAATTTGAGATGGGGTCAGGCATGGGAGTGCCTGCCTGTAATCCCAGCAACTCAGGAGGTTAAAGCAGGAGAACTACAATTTTGAGGCCAGCCTGGACAACTTAGCAAGACCCTGTCTCAAAATAAAATTTAAAGGCTGGGGTTGTGGCTCAGTGGTAGAGCACTCGCCTAACACAAGTGAGGCACTGGGTTTGATCCTCAGCACACACATGAAGAAAAATAAACAAATAAAGTAAAGGTATTGTGTCCATCTATAACTAAAAACATTTTTTAAAAAAATAAAATTTTAAAAGGGCTGGGGATGTAGCTCAGTGATAGAGCACTCTTGGGTTCCATCCCCAGTACCACAAAAATAAATAAATTTGAGTTGAGGTTTTAAGTCTTAGTTTATTGCTAAAGTCTGTGAAACTACAGCATATCTCTAAACTTTTATCAGCAAATTTCTAATTTGTTCCCTGTACTGTGATCCATGTTTTATTGAGGATTTTTTGCCTTCTTTTGGAGATAGATAAATGTTCTGGGGTATGTATGACTTTAATGAATTAAATGTAATGGGCACTTGAGGGAATTTAATATTCATTAAAATAAAGTTAGTCAAACAAATTACACATTGGGAGATAGCCTAAATTGCAAAATATGTAATGGTTGAGGCTTTATACTTTTATTTTTTCCATTTCATAATAGTATAATGTTACATTACAAAATAAATTCACATGCTACAACCTGGTTTCCCTCAAATCTATATCTAATGCTGAGGACTCAGGGTTTTGGCTGAGCTGGCTACATTTGCACACTTGTGCTCAGTTGATTTCATGACTGGTAGAACTCAAGCCAGAACTAGAATTAACCATGGGACAGAGGTTGAAGTGGCTATTTCCATGTGAGACTTTTGTCTCACATCCTATGTGCTGTGTGCATTAGACCAGACATTATAAAAGGGGCCCTGAGATCATGGCTTATTAATCTCAGATATTTTCTAAACCAGCATTAGCAAGTGATGATTATTAAAGAGATATTTTGAAGGCCTTTTTCTATTATCACTGATGCTGCTAAAAATTTGATGTGACCATCTGGCAATTTGTGGTAATCTCATTACTCCAAGTTGGTGGATGAAATGCACCTGACCCAAGTAAAGAACATTGTTTTTAGTTGCTTTTCTCTATTATCACTGTAGAATAACCATAGAATCATTGAATGACAGGCAGGGTAACCAGGAAGACATAGATTGGGTATCATCACCTTCATAATCACCTTAGTTAACCTTTTAAGTAGGTTCACTTTGTATCACAGGAGGACAATAATGATAAAAGAAACCTGTGTCTTAGCATAAAAATTTGTGTAAAGAAAAACAAAAAGAGAGAGAAGCAAGCAAGGAACAGGGGCAAAATAAAAAGGGCTGTTCATCTGAGCTGCCAGCTTTATCTATATCCATAGGTTTCATTAGATCATTGACGTCATTAGTACATATTGCTCATTGTATAGTTACTGTTCTGTGGGCAGATTTAGGTGCAGTGACACATTGGTGTTGTCTAAGAGAGTTCCTTTATTCCCAGAAGCTGAGTGTTTGAGATTAAGGTTGAGATTGATAAGACTCTAGTACAGAGCCTCCTCCCAAAGGACATTACCATAGCAGCTAGGCACTGAGCATGTATTAGTCATCTTACTAGTTCCAGGGAGAAACTGTAGAATATCCAAATGTAGATAACAGAGCCCCTGTTACCCTCCAAGAGTTTTCTCACCAGAGGAATGCTGCCTTGTACATATCCACAGCCAGAATCCTTACAAACTTGACCACCTGGTAAATTAATTAGAGTATAAAAGAACAACACTAAGGACCAATGAAACAAAGAGTTGGTTCTTTGAAAAGGTAAGATAAAAACCAAGGTTGATAAACCTGTGGTCAAACTAAGCAAAAGAGAGAGAAGACCCTAATTAATATAATTAGAGACAAATACAACAGACACAACTGAAATCCAGAGGATCATTAGGAACTATTTTGAAAGTTTAAATTCTAATAAATTGGAAAAATACAGAAGAAATGGATAAAATTCTATGACCTACCAAAAACCTAAACAAGCCAATAACAGGCAGTGAAATTAAAACAATAATAAAGTCTCCTGACAGAGGCTGGGGTTGTGGCTCAGTGGTAGAGCACTCGCCTAGTACATGTGAGGCGCTGGATTCGATCCTCAACACCACATAAAAGTAAATAAATAAGATTAAAGGTATTGTGTCCAACTACAACTAAAACAAAAATATTTTTTAAAAATAAAATCTGCTGACAAAGAAGATCTCAGGACCAGATGGATTTGTAGATACCTTTTACAAGACCTTTAAAAAACGAACTAATACCAATGCTCCTCAAATTATTCCATGTTGTAGAAGGGGAAGGAGCACTTCCAAACTCATTCTATGAAACCAGTATCATGATGATTCTAGAACTGGATGATGATACATCAAGGAAAGAAAATTACTGATGAACATAGATGCAAAAATCCTTAATACTTTCAAACTGAATTCAACAATACATTAAAAAGATCATATGTCATGATCAAGTTGGTTTAATTCCAGGGATGCAAAGACGGTTCAACATATGCAAATCAATAAATGTGAATCATCACATATGTAGAATCAAGGACAAAAGTAACATGATCATCTTAATATATACTGAAAAAGCTTTTGACAAAATTCAACAGCCTTTTATGATGTAAAAAAAATCTGAAGAAAGTAGGAAGGAACTTGCCTAAACATAACAAAGTCTATATATAACAAACTCAAAAGCCAACATCATACCAAATGAAAAAAAACTAAAGGAAGAATTTCCTCTGAAGTCAGGAACAAGACAGGATGTCTACTCTCAGCACTCCTATTCAATACAGTACTTGAAATTTTAGCCAGAGAAATTAGGCAAAAGGAAGCTGGGTGCAGTGGCTGTAATCCCTGTGGCTTGGGAGACTGAGGCAAGAAGAGCACGAGTTCAAGACCAGCCTCAGCAATTTAGCAGAGACCTTGTCTCGAAAAAATAAAAAGAGCTGGGGATTTAGCTCAGTGCCTCTAGGTTCAATCTGCTCTTACCCCCCCCCCCCCAAAAGAAAGGTATAAGAGAAATAATTTACTATTAGCCATTATTATTAATACATCACTTTATATTGCTCATGTCCATACCAAGAACATATTTCAATAATATACCTTTGTCTACCATCTGCCTAATTCCTTTACTCTATAGACTGTGAGATTTAAGAAAAAGGAGAGCAAAGAATTCAAAGGGGGGAGAACCCCAAAAACAATGACAAGAAAAAAAAACTCACCAATATACAAAACCCCCAGCATTTCTGAGGACAACTGATACGTAAAAGAAAATCCTTTAGAATCTAGTATGGGTGGAGGAAAGGAAATGTATGCCTGTTCCACAGGTGTACCTGAGAAGCTATACAAGGTCTCACTCAGACCTGCACTGCATGGGTTCTTTGGTGTCTGGCAAGGTTAGATGGTTGGTTGGAAGTCTTCCCACACTGGAGGCACTGGTAGGGCTTCTCTCCAGTGTGTGTTCCATGGTGGTGGAGTTTGGCGCTCTAAAGCCACACCCACAGTTGTTAGAATGGATAGGATTAGTCTGCATTGAGTCCTCTAGTTTTGATTCAGAGTAGCCTGTTGCCTAACCTCTTCCCACAAGTTTCACACTTGTATAGCTTCTGGGTCTCATCACCCCCAGCCTCCTGAGTAGCTAGGTGGGTAGTCTGATGGTGCATGGTCAAATTCTAGGCCTCCTGGAAGCACTCTTGGCACCTGGGGCAGGTAAAAGGCCATTCCCCTGAATGCATGCTCCTGTGGTTGATCAGGAGAACACTGCTGAATTGAAGCTCCAGCCACACTCCACACGAAGATGTGGTTTTTCGGCTAAAGTGCATCTTTCTGTGATGCATTAGGAAGGAACTCTGGGTAAAGCGCTTCCCACACTCAGAGTAGATGTAAGGCTGCTTATCTGTATGGGTGCATTGCCTGGGAAACTCTTCCCACACTGAGAACAGGTAAACTTGGCAGCCATTGCTTCTGGTTCACCACAGGAATAAACTTGGAATCTGGATTCTGCATGTGTCCTTGGGGTAGATGCAGCACTGGGAAAGGAGAGTAGAGGAGGAATGGGGGAAATCTGATGTATACCGGGCAGTGGAAATGGGTACATAAGTGAAGGTGTAAGCATGGGGTGAGGTAAGGAATCTGAGGAAAATGGATCTGATCAGAGGTTGGAGACTGAGTAGGGTGGGCGGCAGAATCAGTCAGTGTGTTTGAGGGGGCAGGATAAAGGGAGGTTGCAGTAGGGGTATGAATAGGAAGAGATGGAAATAGAAGGACCTGAACTTCTGCTGGGCTGGAGCAAGGGGAGAACTGGTGTGGCTGGAGCCCTGGGCTGGGGGTGCCTGAGGCTGGTGCCAAGCAATATGGTAGTTGAGCATGGTATGGAGGCTGAAGCTCTCCCCTCACTCCCCACACTTAAAAGGCTTCTCCCCTGTATGCAGGCAGATATGCTGAGTAAGGGAGGTCTTCTGACTAAAGCTGTCTCCCCAGATGGAGCAGCAGAAAATACATGACTTATATGGACTCTGGTGGCATATCAGCTTCAACTGGGGACAGACATAGGACTTCAACCCAGTATGCATTCCCTGTTGAGCCAGCAGCAGAGAGCTGCCCATAAAGCCCTTGTCATGTTCCCCACAGATATAAGGTTTCTCTCCAGAGTGGATTTTCTGGTGCTTAATGAGTTTGGAGCTTCACTGAAAGTCTTACTATACTAGGGACAGTGGTAGGGCCTTTTGCCAGTGTGGACCCTTCTGTGCTGGATGAAGGATGCATTCTAAGCAAAATCTTTCTCATAGGACCTGCACTTGTAGGGCTTATCTCTCTAGTGAATCCGCTGATGCTGGAACAGGTTGGAATGTTGGCTGAAATGTTTTCCACAGTTGGAACAGGATTAAGCCTTCTCACAAACATGACTTTGAAGATGATGGGTTAGAGAGTAACCCATGGGTTAAGATGATGGGTTAAGAGTTCAGGAAACTCTTGCTACAATCAGTGCAGCTGTAACATTTCTCACCAGGCATAGGTTTCCTGTGGCCAGTGAGTTCACAGTCTGGGAGTAGTACCCAGCCCCAAAAGTTTTGGCAGTCTATGGCACCAAGCAGTTGCCTTGAGATTTTCCTAATTTAAGATTCTGAATGTGTTTCTTGAGACTGAGTCCCCAAATAGGTAACACTGTTCTTGGGCATATCCCTTGATATTCTCCATCACAGTGTCCTTCCTCATGAATAAGCTTGTCCTCATTGTTGTTCCCAATTCCTGTGGAAGAAAATAGAGATTTCAGATTCCCGCACCATAATTCTCTTCAGAGAGGGAAAGTAAACTATATAAGGCAGTTTTACTATAAATCTGCAAAGGATTTGAGCATGGTGGTACATGCCTGTAATCTCAGCAATTTGGGAGACTGAGGCAAGATAATAGCAAGTTGGAGGACAGCCTCAGCAATTTAGCATAACTTAGCAAGATTCTATCTCAAAATAAAAAATTAAAAGTGCTGTAGCACCAAAGCACCCCTGGGTTCAATCCTTAGTAGCCCTCTCCAAACAACAATAAAACCCCAAAGCAACAAAACAAAAAAGCTGCTGCAAAGGAGGCTTTGCTTTCAGAATCATATAATCAATGTGGCTTTTTTTTTTTTTTTTTTTTTTTGGTACTGAGAACTGAACCCAGGGGTGCTTAACCACTGAGATACATTCCCACTACCCCCATTTTTTGGTGCTGGGGATTGAACCCAGGGCCTTGTGCATGCAAGGCAAACACTCTACCAAATGAGCTATATCCCCAGCCCTGATCTCCGGGCCCTTTTTAATTTTTATTTTGAGACAGGGTCTCGCTAAGTTACTAGGGCCTCACTAAATCACTGAGGCTAGCCTCCTGAGAACTGGGAATCAATGCTTCTTGATTGTAGGATTTATTTTAATGTATCAACTGGGGTTATCAGATTTCTAGTATATAATGTGTTCCATTTTTTATGATTCCATTTATATGAAATTTGACAAAACTAAATTTATAGAGGCAGAAAGCAGGACCAATGGTTGTTATCTAAGAGCTGGGTCGGGAGGGAGCAGCGGACTGCAGAAAAGAACTTTGATGGTTCTTTTGAGGAGTTGAGATGGTGGTTACACAAATATATACACTCATCAAAATGATGAAATCATACACTCAAAATGGGTGCCCTTTATATGAAATTTATATTTCATTAAAGCTGTGAGCAAAGATGTGGTAAACTTTTCTGAGATATATAGTGGACAGGAGTATCAGTGCTGACTAATCAATTATTTTGAAAGATTTTATTAAATTATAAATAAAACCAACAGTTTAAAACACTAATACTTATAAAGTACTTATGTGCCAGGTACTGTCCTAAGAGTTTCCACATTGATTAAACTTCACAACTCTCCAAAATGATGTGTACTTTCTTTCTTTTTTTTTAACTTATGAACATTTTCTGATTATTGTATTTTTTCATATTTATACATATAATTCTGTAATAATTTCATTCTTTATGGCTGAGAAAAACTCCATTATGGATACATACGCCACATTTTCTTTATCCATTCACAGGTTTATTCCATAATTTAGAGATTGTGAATTGTGCTGCAACAAACATGAGTATTGTATTTTATTCATTTCCATTATTGTGGGAATACATCATTAGCACAGAGAATGCTGTCATTAGTATCTTCATGGCACTGCGAAGAGGTCATTTTTTCTCTTGTTGAATCTTTTGTGTAGAAATTATTCCCAGGAGTGTAGCTGCCGCCCCATATGAGAAAGGGACTCTGGCTTCCATAAAGCAGAAACTTTTATAAAATAGTAAGAACTGCCGGTCTGTTTGCTAGTATCCAAGACTGATCTAGCCACAATGACCATGACCCATTTCATGGTTTTGAGAGCCCCTAGGAAGACCAAAGTAATCCTGGCAACTCTCCTGTGGAAACCAGCAGGGACATGATAGTGACATTAATCTTCGTACAATTACAGTGCCACTGTCTGCCAAAATTTTTGATCTAGTTAACCATCACAACTTGTCATTCTTTCTGTATTATTATAGCTGTCCCTTCCTATATTCACTGTCACTAGTCTAGACCAGGCTTTATTTATCCCATTCGTTCCTAGATTATCAAGTTTTCAAGTTGGTCTTTTTTGGTTTGTTTCCTCTCTCAATTATCTTGTACAGGTTATCAGACATGTTTGTTATTGTTAGGTTAGTGCTTCCTGTTTTCCCTACAGGGAACACAAAGAATATGTTACAATTTGAGCAGTACATTGGGATGTTAAGGCTGCTTCCAGACCAAGTTTAAAGCAGTGCTTCTCAACCCTGGGTGCCCGTTAGAATTTTTACCCAGGACCTTTAAAAAATTATTTTACCCAGGATGCACCAGGAGTAATTGCCAAGGTTGAGAAATTTTGAGTTAAAAGGCTAAGCTCATCCTCAGTTACCTCCACAGCTTATTCTTCTTTTACGTCAGGGTAAATTTAGTTTCGCCTATTGTTGAATTTCATATAAATGGTATCATGCAAAATGGATTGGTCCAGGATATTAAGGCTGGACTCAACCATAAGATAATGGCAAAACTTTTTTTTAAATTAAATTAAATTAAATTTATTTATTTTTTATTATTGGTTGTTCAAAACATTACAAAGCTCTTGACATATCATATTTCATACATTTGATTCAAGTGGGTTATGAACTCCCATTTTTACCCCGTATACAGATTGCAGAATCACATCAGTTACACATCCACGTTTTTACATATTGCCATACTAGTGACTGTTGTATTCTGCTATCTTTCCTATCCTCTACTATCCCCCCTCCCCTCCCATCTTCTCTCTCTACCCCATCTACTGTAATTCATTTCTCTCCCTTGTTTTGTTTTTTCCCCTTTCCCCTCACATCCTCTTATATGTAATTTTGTATAACAATGAGGGTCTCCTTCCATCTTCTGTGCAATACCCCTTCTCTCTCCCTTTCCCCTCCCACCTCTCATCCCTGTTTAATGTTAATCTTTTTCTCATGCTCTTCCTCCCTGCTCTGTTCTTAGTCTCTCTCCTTATATCAAAGAAGACATTTGACATTTGTTTTTTAGGGATTGGCTAGCTTCGCTTAGCATAATCTGCTCTAATGCCATCCATTTCCCTGCAAATGCCATGATTTTGTCATTTTTTTAGTGCTGAGTAATACTCCATTGTGTATAAATGCCACATTTGGCAAAACTTAACCTTACCATAGGTAACAAACTTTTGGTCACAATGATGTGGTGGAAGTTTTGAGAAAAAGCTACGTGTGTCAGAAAGTGGGGGTCTAGGCCTCTATATATGCAGGGGCTGGCAGTGGTGGGGCTAAGGGCTGAATCCCATGAAGGACTTGGGCCAGTAGTAGGAGGTGGTGATTCCAAGGCCAGGTGGGGGTGCGTTGCAGCAGGTTACCATTTAGGATATGTTACAGCGGGGAACGGACAAGATCATGGGATAACTGGGCTCCAGGAAGAGCATGTAGATGGTAAGCTGAAACACTCCAATGTGTTTGCGCAGATTCTAAACGTTCTTGTGGTAGGACTTGGGGCCTTGGCAAAGGCACGTGTTCACAAATGCCCCCATTCTTCAGGTAGCAGGCATCAAGCCCAGGCGGCTGCCCTTCACTCTTACCCATGGCTGCCTGCCTCCTGGAGTTGCAGTCAAGCGGGAGCTAGTCACCCTCTCTCTCCTGAGAGGATCGGACCCTAGCTCCGCACCCTAGCAGTGCCAAGAGGGGAGAGAACGAGGCGAACGACCCTTGGCGGCAGCCTTCGTGGGCTTACTGGGAAGGGAGTCACCACAAAGGGCCCTGGGAGCGGGAGGTTGACTGGGGCGTCTTAAGGCCAACCTTGTGGAGGTCCCCACAGCCCCACAGAGAGTCCTGAGCATCCTCAGTTAGCCCCAGGCAGGGGAGCTCCATTTCCGGCCGCCTTGCTTTCATCTCTTTTCCCCCAAGAACTTTCCCCTCCTTTCCCACTGGATTCCCAAGTTGGACGAAGTGTTCAGGGCAGTCCGTGCACCACCACCGCGAAGAGCTGCCTAAGACCCGCCCTGTTCCAACCCCTAACAAGAAGAGGGAGAACTAGGAGCCATCTTTCCTCAAGGGAAAAATTGTAGATCCCTGGGCACCACATTAGGCCACGTCAGTTAGGGATCCTCCCAGCTGCACTGAGCAGGTCACATCACACACAAGTGACGCACGGGCGCCGGGAAGTGGAGTCTGAGCTATGCGCACGCGACAGCTCCGCCCCTCCCGGAGTGCGCTACTGCCACTGAGCTTCTAGAGGGTTGGTTCACCAGGGAATCAGGACAAGTGCGAGGCACCAGGCAGAAAAGCCTTCCAGGAAGCAGAGAAGGTTTGCCCAGGTTGAAGGGGAACACTGGGTTGCTGGAATGTAATCTCTTGGTGAGATGAGGCATTGACCTTTGGCACTTGGCACATGGACTTCTGGCACAGAATTTAAGGAGGCGCCAAAAAAAGCTTAAGTAATTAATGTGGGCAAAGAGGCCCATGCCTGTAATCCCAGCAACTTGGGAGGTTGAGGCAGGAGGATCACAAGTTTGAGGCCACCCTGGGCAACTTAGTGAGACCTTGTCTCAAAAAATAAGAAGTGGTGGGGATTAGATTAGGAGTAGAGTGTCCCTGGAGTCCCTCAGTCTGGGTCTAAGGAGACTTAGTAATCAATATAAACAGCATTTTAATTTCAATAGCTCAAAAATTATTGCAAAAAAAAAAAAAACACAAAACAACAACAACAAAAAAAAAACCAATAATGAATAAAATACCTAAATTCTAAGAGACTATTCTACCCTGCATTTTCATGACCCTGACTTACTGGCCTCACTATAATGCCTGGCTGGCCCTACATCCAATAAAATTTATTTACCAAAATAAGTGCACAGGCTGTGGTTTGCTGATTGTTTAAAATTTGCATTAAAGTATTATTTCTCTTGACTGCTATTTTGGCAGCCACTTAAATTTTGCACGAGAGATTAGTGCTTCACTTTTACCTTATTCCTGCATCTGCCAAGTACCCTCAGCTCTGGGAGCCACATCTCAGTCCTGGAATCAGGAATTGGGTTTCAAATGGGCAGCACTCTTATAGTCTGAATTTTGCCACCCATTCTAAGATACTTTGGGCCAGTTGTGCCCCACACCAGCCTCAGTCTGTTATCAGCAGCTTAGCCTAGGAATCCTGCTTGGTTTCCAGTTGGCCAGATTCCTCCACATGCCTGCATAGGAAATAGGCAAAGGATGGAAAGGGAAAAAATGAATTTTATGCAGTTTGATTAAACTGGGGAGAAACAGCTAGATTGCTTCTCTGCCAGTCCTATAAAAGCAATTACAATTAATAGAAACAGAAACCAGGTAATGGGGCTGGGGCTGTAGCTCAGTGGTAGAATGCTTGCTTAGCATGTGTGAGGCCCTGGGTTCGATCCCCAGCACCACAAAAAATTAAATAAATAGAATAAAGGTGTTGTGGAGCCAGGGGAAGTCAGGTAATATACCTAAGTAGATTTAGCCAGGCTATGTTAATCAGAAACCTGTCTTAACTTCCTTGGCTATTAGCCACAAGGAGAGTGGGGTGTGCAACCCTTCAACCTTTACTTTTGTTACAGAACTGGGGCCTTCCAGGAAACTGGGGCAGCATGAAGACCCTACTTCAAACCCCAATTTTTGGAATCAGTTCAGAAAGATTTCAGACATGTCGATCAAAGTAACAGGAATGAGTTTATTAAAGGGAACACTCTCAAGGGGAGAGAGTGAATCCTCTCAGAAAAGGGACAATGTGCCTCCCCTACACTCCAATTTTATTAGGGATCCCAGAAACATTTCCAGAGTCCTGCCCAGGTCCACCTCTTGACTTTTGACTGACAGCAGGATGACATCAGACTTTTAAGTCCCCACTGCCACAACTTCAGTTCTAATTGTATTCTTAATGATTTTTACAGGTACTCTTTCATAAAAAAGAGGTTGTTTTTTTGTTGTTGTTGTGACTGGGTATGAATGAAACCAGGGCTTCATGCATGCTAGGCAAGTACTCTACCAACTGAGTTGTCTCCAGCCCTCATAATACAAAATGTTTAATGGGATTAAGACCTTTTCTGGGAGTTGAGTGTATGAGTTTGAGTACATGTGCTTGGAGAACTCTGATTTTTGATTTCCCAGAGGCCTCCTTGACATCACTCCTGGAGCTTAGCTGGATTCTGGATGGGGAAGGCTGGCAAGTCTTGGAGAGGTCACACTGATATCACTGGTATTGATGACAAGTTCTGCTTCCTCACGTGTTTAAGTATAACATTAGAGAAGCATGCAGAGGCAAGCATACAAAGCAAGGTTTATTTAAAAAGAGGTAATACAGACTTCTTCTGGGATGGATGAAGAGGCCAGAGCTGGTATCCCAAGAAATGAGAGCATACTGCCTTTTATACATCCTAGATTTTCTTTGTTCTCCTGCTCTCTTCCTTCTTATCTCTCTCCTTCCTGTATACATGACTAGGCTCAGGAGCATACTAGGTTCAGGAGATGCTCCTATGGAATGGCCAAAAGGTGAGAAGCAGATGGGTTGGATGGGCCAAAGTAGAGTGATCCAGGCAGGAAGGGGGGCCCATGCATTAATTAACAACTTTTACAACTCCCTGTAGGGAGGAATAATCCCTGGAACAGGTTACCTTAGCAACAGGTTGGAGCAGGAGCAGGTAATTTTGATAAAGGTGGAGAAAGAGCTCTCAAGGCATTAACATTTCAATTTCACAGGGGTGGTCTCCAACTTGCCAGACCCAAGTGGCCTTCACTCCAGATCCAATCAGGATCATCTACCTACCTGTACTGACTGACTGTTTTTAATTCTGGCTTCAATACATGAAAGTCCTCATCATCAAGTTCTTCACCATCATGACCCCAGATGGAGCTTCTGTTTCTTGCCTCCTCCCTTCCAACTCTGAGCAACTATAACACAAGGGCTGAAGTGGGTCTGGGAGTCAAGGAAGGTGACAGGCAGCATGTCCTTGATCTGAAGAAGACAGTGTGGGGAAGCAGTGGAAGGAAAGAGGAGGGGACATTTCCCAGAAGTAGAGTCATAACTTTTGAGTTCCAGCCCCCAAACCTGGACTTACCTTAGACATTCTCAAAGATCTTCACACTCCTAGGATTAAACTTGGCCAGGGTAGGGAGGGAAGCATCTTATTAGGTCAGAAGGGGTTGTCACATTCCTGGACTTCTTGCTAAGGACTTCTCCCCTACCCTTCATGGGTTGCTGAGGGGTCAGAAAATCCCCAAACTCCTCTTTTGCTGGCCTTGAATCTGGTCAGCAATCCTCTTGCCCACAATACTATTTCCAAATGATCCCCTTTGCCCTTTCCCTTTGTCTTTGCCCTTTCCTAGGCATTCCCCTGCCCCCCATGCAGAAGTTAACTGCTCTGGGAACTTCAGCCTTTTGGCTGGGCTGGGGTAGGAGGTGGGCAGGTCTTAAGCCAGCTCATCCATTCCTGGTACAGTCTTCCCCTCTTCTTCTACACCCTTGGGAAATAGACTTGTTATGGAAATTGCACTCAGCAAGAGACCAAGCACCTCTCAGAGAGTTGCCTGTAGACTGAGAGGAGCTAGTGCTCTTAAGTTCTGGGACCAGAGGTGAGGTTACATAGGGCTTTTATAGGAAAATTGACATCATTTCTTAACTATTACAAGATTAGGGGGGTTGAATTCTTGGCCTGTGAGACCAAAGACCATGCAAAGGAAATTTATGATAAGAAGTTCAGAGGTGTAGAACAAGACAGTAAAACACTAGTGAGTGTTATTGCGATATGACCTTCAACACAGGCAGCAGCAACTCAAGATGACTTGAGTTTTTCTCCCTAAGAACTATATTTCTAAGAACAAAGCCTAAGAGGTTATAGTTTAGACAGTAGTTAATTGGCATAGCAATTAAGTGTGTAGTTACATTCTACAGAGTTCAGAAAGTTTCAAAATATAAGAAACAACTCTTTTTAAAGGAACCTGTCTGGCCTTGAAAGCCTACCACAGGGATATAAACATCCCAAGAGAGGGAGACTCCTAGAGAAACCTATTTACAATCCTATAGGTAGGGATCCATGGTTAGGTTCCCTGAAGAGAAGCTGACATTGGGGAGTGGGAGGATTAACTTTTTCTTCATCAGACCCACATCCCAGGGAAGAGAAGCTGCTAGGCAGCAATTAGGCCTTTCTCAGGACTCTCTGTGCCTGCCCATATGGATGCTGGGACTTAGCAGATACAATGTATACACAGTCCCTATGCTCCTGGAGTATGTTTATGGCCAAGTCCTGAGAAGGGAGTTGTCCTGGGGTAAGGGGGCACTGCTCCAGCATCCTATAACACCACAATAACACTCGCTAGTACTCCAAAAGTACCTGCCTTACCAGTTCAGCTTAGTGATAAGTAGGACTCCTGTTGTCAGACCATGGCCACATGCAACCCCACAGCACCAGCTTTTGCATGATCCACTAGACTCACATGGGGGAACCTAGATTCCAGATCTTTATGAGATCAACAGAATTATAACTGTACCACAATCATTCTTATGTCCAGAACTAGACAGATGACCAGCCATCCTAGGAAGACAATGTTACTCACTCCCAACCCTTCCCACTCCACTCAGGCCTTAGCATTTAAGAGTGCTTCCACACTTGTTTGCTTGTTGATTCCCAAAATAACTCAGTTGTGGGAAGCCATCCTGACACGTGACTGGGCGGCTCCCGTTAAGGGTCTGAGGCGTTCTGGCTGTGTCAGAACTTTCCCGGCCCTTTCCTGATGAGAGAACCCGTCCGTGTGGGGGTGTGACTGACCACTGACCCCGGGGGCCCAATCACTGACCCTGACCTTGGAGTGCAGTCCCCCCTCAACCTTCATTGGATGGAATTATCCCCTGAATTTCTTGTTCCCCAATAAAAGGCTACTCCCTGGTGTGTTCGCTCTCTCTCTCTCCTGCTAGCCCTGAGTAATCCTTGCTGCCCTGCTGGGCGGTTAGAGGTTGGAGCCAGAGAGGGGAGCCGTCTCGGACCTGGCAATAGAATAAGGTAACTGAGACTGTGTGTTTTATTTCGATCTCTTCTAGCTAACTTTATGCCAAGAACCTCATTAATGAAACCATTGCGCAGCCCGCATGGTGGATCAGTGAGGACGGTCTGGGATGTGGCAGGTACATCTCCTTGAGGCCTACAGGGCCCAGTACTCTGACCTCTGACCAAAGCACATGAGTCTGCTCTGCCATCTTTTAAATTGGGAAAGGAGCTTTAATAATAGACTGAAATCACCATACAGGGCTCAATTTAGGGGACAACTATGGATGGGGAGCAGGAAGACAGACAGGTTCAAGTCTGTCACTGGGGGAGGGGGCGGTGAGGGGAAGGGGAAAGGAAATAGGAGGACAGGGAGCAAGAAGTGATAGAAGATCTTTCTCACCCGTGATAGTGTTTGGGGACTGTAACCCCAAATGTCTTCTGTAGAGGTCAGATGAGTAACACAAAGGAAATATGTTGAGTCAGGGATATAAGGAGTGGTTGGGACTGTGTGGAATAGACATAACTCGACAGATTATGTGTTATGATCAAATGTTGCTGAATCTTTTACTTAAAAGAAAAAAAAACACACAAAGAAACAATCCCCTCCCGCAGAAATATAGATTGTGAAGTCTCCTGATTTAAATGTTATTTAAATAACACACACAGTGAGGGACCAAATAGATGTATTTGCCATCTGTGGTCTAAGTACCGGTCACATGGTCCTACTCCCAGCTCAGAGAACAGTAAATGCTGGATAAATGCTGTTGGATCAAGCTGTACCTCCTGCTTCTGAGGTCTGTTTCCTTTTCTGGTCAGGACCTGTTTTCTGCCACTGGAGAGGAGAGGGGGCCCAGGGATATTTACCCTAATGTGAGAGATTAGCTTTCAGTTCTCTGAAAGGGATTTTGTAAACAAATCCTGTTTCCATGCTCCCCTGTACCACATCCACAATATTTGTATGTAGGTACATTTATAATACTTGACACTTGCTCAATGCAATTCTGAGGAAGCCGAGGCCCAAAGATTACTAGTAAGTAGTATAAACAGGACCAGATCATAGCAACTATTTATTGAGAGCCTATTAGGTATGCACTGGGGATAGGTATACCCATGGAATCTTCACTACAACCTTGTGAGGTAGCCCTCATCATCCATTTTACAGATTAAGGGGAAAAAACAAAACAAAACAAAACAAAAAAAACCGAGGCCCAGAAGAGGTACAGATCACACAGCAGGGAAGAGGCAAACCTGGGCCCTCTGTGCTAGAAGCTGAGGGTGGATCACTTCATATTCCTTCCCTCCAGCCTCTTCTTTGTGGGCACAGAACTAGATGCTGCAAGCCTGATTAAAAGTGCCAAAATTTGGGGGTAGGGGACCAGAGGCCTGGGGATGATATAAGGACTATCCTATAGGAGTAGGCATTAGGTCCTCGAGACAGATAACCCTTCTCAACCTCAAAAGGGCCATTTTGTGCCTAGTCCAGGAACACAAGTAGCTATGAGAAGAAAATGGACTCTCTGCTTGAGCACAGAGTACCGGAGTGCTTTGAGAAGCCTACCTCCTGGCTCCAGTACACACTGTTTTACTAGCAGAAAGAGATTTGTGTGGGCAACCTTCCTCCGTGCCATACAAAAGGGTTGCTTAAGCCGATCTGAGTCACATCGGAAGCTTTTACCATATTTGTCACTCTGTAACTGCTTTGATGATGAATTTTGCCTTCAAATGCCACAATTTTGGCATTGGAGGATTTTTGAGATTGTAGGGCCATTTGGTCTTGGCAGAAGCTTCTTCCTCCCCAGCGGCAGAGCTTGACCTATATAAGTACTGCAGGCCTAGCAGCATTTCCTGAGCGGCTGGCTGCTCCGGCCACACCAGAAAGGGCTGTTCAGGCTGCACAATTTCGCAACGCAGGGGCAACCGGAGGGCTCCCCGGTAGCCTGATGTTCTATTCCCCTGAAGCTCCACCACGTCCGGATTATCCCTAGCCACATAAGGCGCCGTCAATTCCATCGCGAGTGAAGAGTGCCCGTTTCCTAGACGTCAGTTACTTTGCTCACAAGCAAACCCAGAGCAAGGGTAAGATATAGGGGTCCAGCACCGGAAACGGAAAGGTCCACAAGCCTGTGCCCCTCTAGGAAGAGGCTGCGAACCTTCTCGGTAGGTTTAACCCTCTCATTCACCTGGTCGAGCGAGAGCTTTCCATCCGCAGCCGCTGTCAGGAACGTCACACTGTCGGCCTGGCTCTGGGTTCCAGGAGTCCATCAGCCCGGACTTCGGGGCCCCGACTATCAAAGCAGGGCTAAAGGAAGAAGGGCGGTCGCTGCCAAGGACATACCGGGAGAAGAGTTAACAAAGTCATTCAGAGCAGCACAGCACAAAGACTCCATGGTCGGACGTCTGGGTTCTCCAAAGCACCAGCACACTTCGAGGCCCTAGGAAGAAAGTTTCCCTTCCATCTTAAAAGAGGCGTGTTAAGCTTGGTGCTGACTACATATCCCAGCATACACCTCACGCGTCTCTTAGACTCGCATAACATAACTACCATTCCCACGTGCCTTCTGCGGCTGTGCAAGAACCAGAGTTCCGGAAAAGAGAACTACGGTTTCCGACTCGCATGATAACTGCGGCGGCGCTATTTAAGAAGCGTCAGCAAGGATAGTCTGGCCACGCCCCTCTCTTCCAGTTCCGCTGTCTCAGATAAGCGGCGAGAAGCGGGGCGGAGCCCTAGGCCCGAGCCAAGATGGCGGCTGCGAAACCAACCCTTACGGACTCGCTCTCGTTTTGCCTCGCGCAGCTCACGGCGGCAGCAGGGGAGGGTCAGGGTGGGGAAAAGGACCTAGCTAGCAACGAGACACCCCTGGGCCGCGCGCTCTTAGCTCTCCGCACGCGCCACATCAAGGCAGCGGGGGGAATCGAACGCTTCCGGGCACGCGGCGGGCTCCGCCCCCTTCTCGCGCTGCTACGGCGAGCGGCTGCAGCGGACCCCGCCCCGTCCGAGGCAGGTCCTGGCTCCGCCCCCTCGTCGGTTGCGTCAGCGGCTTCTGGTTCCGCCCCTTCCTCTGACTCCACCCACTCTGTTGGGTCGACGCCTTCGCCGCCAGTGCGCCTGCGCAAGACGCTGGACTTGGCGCTCAGCATCCTAGCCAACTGCTGTACGGAAGGGGCGTGCCGGGCTGAAGTGCGCAGACTCGGAGGCATTCTCCCTTTGGGTAAGTGCTCCGCCTCCATTTCCTAGAATGATTTCACCCGCCCTTCCCTCTAGTCTAGTCCTAGGCTGGTTTGAATACTTTGTGTCAAACCCTGGAATAACGTGCTTTATGACGGCGCCGCCCACCTATCTCTCAAGCTGTCACTACTCTCCCATGACGTCACTACTTTTTCTGTAGGTTATACCCGAGCTCAGACCAGATAATTACAACCATAATGTAGGTGTTGGCACCTCTCCCGCATCTAGGCAGTTGGAGACTAAAGGGTTATTAATGATACTTCAGATGATTCTTGTCTTGCATTTATGAAATTAATAGTCTGAGCTTGTGCGATGGACTGAAACCCCCCTTGGATGAGCTGCAGGCAAAAAGGTGAAGTTCAGAAATTGGTGTAGTTAGCTATACCAATAAAGGCACCTTACACCTCCAAAACTAGGATTCCTTGTAAAATGAAATAATAATAGCCACCTTGCATAATTGGAGTATGGAGAAAACTTAATGCAAAGATAGAATGCATAGACTCTATGCACAGGCAGGGAATTTTGAGTAATTAAAAACTCATACAATAAAAAAGAACCCAACAAAAGCTTTTCTGTTTCCCAGATAAATTGGTGCCTCCTAGTGGCATGCAAACGCAGTATACCCGTATACAGTACACCATGCAAATGCATTATACACGTCATGCCTGTCTTCTGAAATTATTCCAGTTTTGATGTAAGCTCAATTTTTTGGATAAAGGGAAGCATTAATATATTTAAAACTCTCATAAAACATATGTGGACTATAATGAGTTTGACAAGAGCCTGGAAGATTAATAAGCCCCTCAGTAAGCAATAGATTTTGTTATCACTCCCATCATTCAGTCACTATTTTGCATTTTAAATATCTCTGAAATCCATCTCCTCCTGTGTTTCTACCATGTGATCAGAGACTGCTTGTTTTCAGCAGTGCAGTAACTTATTTGGTTCAGACCACTGTCCAGTCTCACCTGGTCACTTTGTCGATCTCAGACTCTATTCCCTTCTCCTATAATACATCCCCCTCCATGGTTGCCAGATTGTATTGTATTGCTTCCCTTCTTAAAATCCTGTGTGTCTCCTGTGTGTCCTGAGCTCTTTATCTGGCATTTGAGGCCCTTCATAAGATCATGGCACAGATCCTCGGTGTTACCTCTGGGCTCTTGCAAAGGCTGCTTCCAAACCCAAAATGCCTTGTAATATCCCCATCCACCATCCTTCTAGTAAATACCCTCTAGACCCAGCTCACGTGTTAGCTTCTTTCAGAGACTGTCCCTGACTCTCTCAAGCCATATTCTGGAGGTGACTGATAGAGAAATAAAAGGCTAAACTCTCTTTTCAGTGACCATTCTTCAGTGTGTGAAGACAGATAGCATCCAGAACCGAACAGCCCGTGCTCTGGGGAACTTAGCCATGGAACCTGAGAGCTGTGGGGATATCCACTCTGCTGGTAAGAAGGCTATGAGGTGGGGTTAACTGGGAATTAGGGTGGGATAAGGGCTTAGGTAGATGCCTTTGCTCACCCTTTGTCCTCCCCTTTCCTCTCCAGGTGCTGTTCCTTTGCTCGTTGAGAGCCTGACAGCTTGCCAGGACTCTCAGTGCCTACAGAGTGTGGTGCGTGCCCTTCGCAACCTAGCAGACTCACCCCAGCACCGCCTGGCCCTGGCACAGCAGGGAGCAGTACGCCCACTGGCTGAGCTCCTGGCTGCTGCCCCAGACCCTACGCTAACCTCAGCCCTAGTCCGTGCCCTCCTGGAACTCAGCCGAGGCTGTTCCCGGGCCTGTGCTGAGCAGCTAAGTCTGGGTGGGGGACTGGGCCCACTTGTCAGCCTGACTTCTCACCCAAAACGGGCAGTACGTGAAGCAACCATCCTGATCCTTGCCAACCTGTGTGCCCAGGGCCTAGTACGGCCTGCGCTAGGCAATGCTGGTGGTGTGGAGGTGTTACTAGGTGAGCTCCGGCGGCGTCGAAGCACCAATGGAGCCAGCTCGGCTTCCCAGCAACCGTTGGTGCGGGCTGTGTGCCTTCTGTGCCGGGAGGCTATCAACCGTGCCCGGCTTCGGGATGCTGGTGGTTTAGAGCTGCTCATGGGCCTACTGCGGGACCCTCGTGCCAGTGCCTGGCATCCACGTGTTGTAGCTGCTCTTGTGGGCTTTCTTTATGATACTGGGGCCCTGGGCCGGCTACAGGCTCTGGGACTTGTCCCTCTCCTGGCTGGGCAGCTGTGTGGAGAGGCTGGTGATGAGGAAGAGGAGGGAACAGAAGCGGCTTCTTGGGACTTCCCTGAGGAACGGACCCCTGAGCGGCCTGAGGCTGGAAGCTTCCGAAGCCTCAGGTGAGTCCTCACCACAGGGCCTAGGAGGGAGGGTAGGTGATATATTTTGGGATGGGGGCTTGTCTGCTTTGGCCTTCTTTACACCTCCACCCTCCATTCTGTCTCAATAAGATTTTGTTGTTGTTGTTTCTAACTCCTGATTCCTTCTTGTTCTCTGACACGACTACTTTCCAGTCCTGTTAAACACAGCGTCTATCCTTGGATCTGCTTTTTAATATTGGTTCTATCTCATCACCTTGAACTTTGGGCCCCAGACAAATTCATTGGGAGGTAGTACGTACACTGATTATTTATAGTGGTATGTTCTGGAATACAAGTTCTTATTCTGTCACCATCACTTACAAACTGAGACATCAGGGGAAGGCTAATTAACTTCTCTGGGTCTCTGATTCTTTGTGCATACAATGGAGGATAACAACATACCTTACAGGGTTATTGTAAAGATTAATGGCACTAAGCAATGTTCAGTAAATGTCAGCCTTGTGAATTCTGTGATTCATCTCTGATCATTGTCCGTGGTGCCTGTTGCACTCTTAGAACTGGTCTCCTCCTTATTTTTGAACATGACAGGAAGGTGTTATCTGAGGACCTCTCTGGTTGCTGTTCTGTCTGCTTAGAATACTTTTCCTCTTGCATGCCTTCATCTCTCACCACCTTCAAGTCTTTGTTCAACTCTTGCCACATTCGTGGGGGATCCATCACCACTCTATTTTAAATTTCAACTTTTGCCTGTCTTGGATCTTTTAATACCCTTTTCTTTTCACTATTATTACTTAACACCACACTAACATGACACTAATCTACCATACGGTTTACTTACTTAGGTTGTCTGTTTCCCTTCAGTAGAACATAAACTTCAGGAGGGCAGGAACTTTGTTTTATTCAGTGCTTCTCCCCAGCACTTAAAAAGGACTAGGCACATGATTAATATCAGTAATTACTGAATGAGGATTTATCCCCCCTCCCACTTCTGTTTGTCCTCATCTTCCTTTAATATACCCTCTTCTTCCCCTACTGGCTTCACCTTCTTTTCACAGTTCTTTTGACTCTATTTCCATGCCTTGGCTCTGGGTTCAGTCTTCTTTTCTTTTTGCCCTCTGCAGGTCATGGCTGATCTCTGAGGGCTATGCTGCAGGCCCCGGAGACATTTCTCCAGACTGGTCTCCTGAGCGTTGTCCATTGCCAGAGCCAGCAGAGCCAGTCAGTCCCACCCCTGGCCAGACCTCGCTGCAGACACCGCGTACACTACGCATGCAGGGTCGTAGCCCTGCTGCTTCTGCTGCAGAGGAGCCTTGGGGACGTGAGGGGCCGGCACTACTGCTGTTGTCACGCTTCTCCCAGGCTCCTGACCCAAGTGGTGCACTTGTGACTGGTCCGGCACTGTGTGGCTTGCTTGCCTATGTGACAGGTGCACCAGGCCCACCAAGCCCACGTGCACTACGCATCCTGGCACGTCTCACCTGCAACCCTGCCTGTCTTGAGGCCTTCGTGCGCAGCTACGGTGCAGCGCTGCTGCGAGCCTGGCTAGTGCTCGGTGTTGCACCAGACGATTGGCCTGCACCACGTGCCCGGCCTGCACTCCAAAGCCAGCACCGGGAACTGGGTATGACTTCTGTCTTTCTGCTTACATTAGTGACCCCATCTTCCTCCTGTGCCTTCTGTGGGCCCAGAACCTTGACTTTACTGCTCATCAGCCCTCTCACTGTCCTCTCTAGCCCACCGTCCAAGCAACCCTAGACACCAGGTGTTGGGGGAGTTAAAGAGAACAGGAGGTCTTGGGACTATCCCTTCTGCTCCGTAGCATGTAGAAAGAGTTCTGTTCTACCATCTATTTAAATCTTGGAGCTCAGATAACCTGACCTCAGGCTTGGCTCCCAACAACCTAGAATCTTGCCTGTCTGCATTTCTTTACTCAATAGGTTCTGTGTTGTCCTTACTGCTTCTGCCCTGGACATACTG